TGACAACACTTCTGCTCACTGATCCTTACTCATCAATGACTTTCTTGCGAAAATTTAAAAACTGTTTTGCCTTATTCTCACTCACCTGATCTCGCACCCTGCAATTTCTTCCTATTTTCTGAACTGGCAAGATGCTTGCAGTGTCGTCGATTTCAATCTTGTGCATCGCAGGATGAATTAAAGGACATGGCCAAAAATAGATTACAGACATGCTTCAATGAACTTTACAGGCGCTGGCAAAAGTGTGTTGTTGCCCAAGGGTCTTATTTTGAAGAAGGATGTGTCTGCAAATTAATTCATAATATTTTTTACATTATGGGTGCGTATTTCCTTGCATATGTTTCTTTCATTTGCTTCACAATACAATATAACTGAAAACATAATAAGAATTGGTATTATTGCATTATCGGTCTCACATTGATAAGAATTGCAATTGTCACCAAAGTAAGCAATCCAGATTTTACAAACATGTATTTATTTGGAAACCCACTTGTTGCATGCAATATCGCCATTTCTGTGGGTAGTGGTAATAATTCATGCAGTTTCAAATTCAAAGGTCACATTTTCATTGTGATTAGTGTGTGGAGTTTTTTTTTTTTTTTTTTCGTGTAACAAATCCTAATGCCACTGTGTGCCTGCTTATGAAAAAGAAAGCATTACATTTTTTTTTTTTTTTTAGAAGTTTTGCTTTTTACCTACTGCTAGAGAGTGCAGAAATGTGCATTCCATGAAGTTAATTTGTGTAATTTCTGACTTTAAAGCTGAAACAGGTTGATGTGTACATGGAGAGCAGTGCCAGTTTGCTCTGCAATGCTGGGAATTCTGCTATTATCTGGTTTTTATTTTAAAGCTAAAGCAGATTGCTGTGCACACAGATAGAAGACTTAGAATGTTGTTTTGCTATGGATATTTATTGCTTTTAAATTTAGTTAATTCGTTGCTATTTTATAAAGTTCCGAGTGTTTCATCATGGATCTTTGTTTTGTATAATTTTTACTATTTTGTTATGGATATTTCTTGCATTTTTAATTTAATTCATTGCTGTTTCATATAATTTTCAGCACACCGACATTTTTTTAAAAAATGGTTACTTTTTTCACATATTAAGTTGATGAAAAATTAGCTGCCAACTGCTGTTGACTTTGCGCTGGGGTTAGACGAATACCAAGAGAAGTACCTAAAAATTTATATTCCTGTGTTTTGTAGTGATTGCTTCAAATTATTTAATTGTTTAACGTAACTTGTTATTTAATTCATCAGGCTTGGTCTAGAAATTTTTCAGTTTGATCGTAAAGAATCAGGGAAATTTGAAGTTGAATTTCAGTTGTAACTTTGCATGAAGTTTTGTTTACAAATTAACCCACTGACCACAGAAAATAAGTAGCATTTCAGAATAAAAGCAGATTCTGTGTAATAGCTTGCCTATTTTCTTTAAGAGCTGTCTTGGTCATTGATATCCATTGAATATTTTGATTCATAACTGAATACATGGGTAGATGAAGCTGTGTTGATTGGCATGGCGAAAGTATCTAAAATATTATCAAATCACAGTCAAATCATCTTCAAATAGGCATCTAAAACACAATACTGTTTTACAAGTTATTTGAACAGTGTTTAGACCTGGGCTTCTCAACGGGGTTAATAGGGCCCTTGAGGATTGATGAAGTTTTAGACAAAGGGAATGATGATCAAGGGGTCAGTAGCTGAATATGCACAGGCAGTAAATCAGCGTAATGAAGATCCCATTGATTACAAAAAAATAATTTTGTAAAGTTGATAGTTAATTGATTATTGATATAAAGTAATATCATATAATAAGACAGAAATGATATAAAAATTATGGAAAAAATAAATAAATTTACTTTATTTAAAAAATCAATCATATTTTTTTAATTAAAATTTTTTTTATATGAAAATGCAATATAAAAAAGGGAAATGCAGTAACACAACCAAAAATAAATGAAGAAAGCAAAACTTCCTCGGAAGATATATTGTTATGTACCAGCTGTATAGAAAATTTAAAAGATTTTAATATTTGCTTTCAAGATATTGAAAATTTTGAATATACTGGCAGGACTCATGGAAATGCCGAACTGTAATATATTTAATCTTGATATTATGATGCAAGAACTGATTGCATTGAATGAGCTTGTTCAAGTACAAGTCTTATTCAAAACACTTGAAGACCAGTTTTGGAATTTAAAAGTTGTTACTGAACAGCCTTATTGACTTTTCTTTCTTCCTGTATGGTAGAAGCAGGCTTCAGTCAAGTCAGTAATTTATTATTGAAAATAAGGAACAGGTTGAATATTTTTGAACAAGGTTATTTAAGAATTAAGCTTGTTTTGTAGTTTTATGCCAGATATTAAAAAAAAAAAAAAAAAAAAAATGTATAAATGCACTAAGCACAGCCATCATACGAATTAAAAAAAAAAGTTTTGTGCAATTGGAATCTAATTTTGTATCTGAAATCTTGTTTATATTTCCAAAATATTAATGATACACAAAAAATAATAAAACGGGAAATCTAATAAACCTCTTTCCCCCCCTCGAAACTGTTCATATTTCTAGTTTAACTGATATTAACTGATGCATTAGTATAGTTTAACTGTTAGGTTATTAAGTATAATTATTTGTATTATTATCATGTTGTATACTGTATGTTATAGAAAAAAATGTAAAAGGGTAATTAAAGAAAACCATTCTTTTAAAAGGGGTTAATGTAAGGAAAAAAGTTTAGTATTCTTGGTTTAGATGGGCACATCTACATCCATAATCATCATTTGTGTTATTTTGACCCTTTATTGGAAGAAAAAGTAACTTGATCAAGTGGCTTCTCAATTCTTCGATTTACTGGTTCTCATGTATAAATTCATGATTGAAGTATCCTTGCCATTCATAGGGATTCATGCAATGCAGCTATCTACTGTCGCATATGCCTGTTGTGTTTGATCATTTTTCTTGTTACATCCTCTTTTTTGTATCTTTTCCATATACTGTGGTGAGCAACTATTTTGTTATTGGCTTTGATTTTTAAATCATTTGTATATCAGAATTTTTACATGGACTACATCTAGGTCAGCGATCTCCAAATTTTTTTTTTTTTATCATGAACCCCTAAGGTGAATATAATACAGTGCAATGCAATATTATAAAATGTGGTATAATGTAATGTAATATGAATGTGCTTTAAAATTATAATGTTAAATGCAGTTATGATTTTGAGTTCTCCCATTAAAAATAGACCATGGACTTTATGAGAAAGGTATGGATCTTATAATCTTGTAAGAATGCCACATTCACGTGATACATGATCATACACTCATAAGTAATCATGAGCCTACTTACTTCTTTGATGTACTCTCAAGTATAATTTAATGTACCTCACTTTGGAGACCACTCACCTGGATTGTGACTGATCAAAGGCTTAAGTTCCAAGCCATTGATAGTTTTTCCTGGTTTCTATTTACAGTGATTAAAGGGGCTGACTGCATAAGATGTTTTCCCCTCCTCTTCTTCAATTTTTCCTCATGTTTAACATGCCATATTTCCCTCTAGCTTTTAAGCTTCAAGTTCTGAACGTTTAAAAAATTTTTGCATAATTTCCCCTTTCCTCAGTGCATTTAGAGATTGATCCCCAAACCACCTGTCAAGATCACACCAAACCTTTCCTTTCTAACTGTTGAACTTTTTGCCAGCTTAGTACAGGAATCAGTCAATCACAGCAAAGCAAACACAAACTACATTCAGTCTGCAATTTTGCTGAGTTAGCTCCACATTCACCTTTTCTAATTATTTGTGTGTGGTTTGAGGTCTAAGAAGTTGCAGAGAAAACAATAAGAATAGATGAGTTTAATTTACAGAGAAGTAGAAATAAAGATATCTTATTAGATATTTTTATGCTATTATTAAGCATATATTTTTGTTGGAGTGTAGTAGGTCAATTTACTTGCAAAATATCCTCCTTGAAAGCCTTTTTTCCTGTAGGTAAGTAACACTTGTATGTATTGCCATGAGTGAGTCACCCAATCCAGTTTGATTAACAAATTTTAAATATATCTATATTTATTTATCTGTCTCCTTATATATCTTTAAAGCATGCGCCTAGTATTGTAAGTAACATATAAAGTATATTGAAACTTTAATTTATTCATGTAACGACTGCTTAAACTAAATAGGCATTCTTACCAAATATACCATTTAACTTTTCTCAGCGAAGTTGATCGAAACATCAGTGCATTCAGACATCGACAGGTCATCTGTATGTCTGCATTCCTTCTCTGCCTGCAGCTTTCTGTGCCAAAACGTTAGTGCATTACTCTATTACATTATGGTTTTGGGAGTTTTTAAATGGCATGCCAGTCATTCTTTTGAAGTGACTAAAAGTAGTTCTCTTATTTTAGTGTGCCTTCCCTCCCCTTTGATTAGCATCAACGTTTAGCAATTGATGCTCGCAGTTGCAATTCTGTTCTAAGGGGGAACTAACTGCACACAGTGGATGAAACAACACTTATTTCTAGGAGAGACGTAATTGTTTCACCTAAGTAGGTTATTGTTAATGCCATAGCATTTTGCTTGGGGGAAGGAAATTCATTCAAAAAAAAAAATTCATAAAACGGGTATTTCAAATGATTGAGAGGAATGGATTTTGCCCTCTACCAATCTGAAAGAGTTAAAAACTACACATTGTTTTTTTTCATATGTAAATTTATAGTACCGCGTGTACTTTGACAAATCAAGTAATCTTAACTCATCTCAATCAGATACCATTCTGGATATGTATTTGAAAGAATGCATTAAGTTTTACTTTTTAAGATTTTTAAAACATATTCACAAAGCTATTGATTGTAAAGCTTAAGATAAGTTTAGCATGTCCTCATTCATATGCATAATAAACATATTAGAATGTATTTCCTATTGTGTTCTTTAAATCAAATGTAATGATGGAGAAAAACTATTTTGATTTTTGTATCTCATTAGTAGTCTGTCTGTGTTAATAGGTCTTCTCCAGCAGGAAGCCCGGAGAAGAAACAAGTATTAGCTGCAGGTGAGAAATGTTCTTAATCCTTTATGGATTTAATAAAATATTTTTATATGTGTTTACTTTGAAATTTAATATTTTTAATATACTGAAAAATATTAGCAATTTCTTTTTTTTGGAATTTAGTATTAAAAAAATCCAAATAACTTGTCCCCCCCTTTTTTTTACAAAAAGTGACAGCTTTTGCTTTTGTATGACAGTGATCATGCAACAGAATTTCTTTTGCTGTTGTATGATCACAAGCGCTGGAGTTATTTATAGAATGTATTATTTTAATCCTGAACAGCAATTGGCTTAGAATTTACAGCAGTGCAGATTACTGGAGATTAATGAAGTCAAAATGATGCAGCATAAATCCTTTAAAGGGGTTATATCAAAATTTATTTAAGAATTAAAAGGTCTATTGTCAATTAAGTTAGTAATTTTGTTAGTACTTGTCTTTCATATTTTATGTCTTACATATACGTATATATAAATATATATGCCCATGTCTTAATCTGTTTCTGATTATTTTTATCTTGAGGTGAACTAATTTCCTTTTTGCTTTAAATATCTTTCTTTTCAGTCAAGGCAGAAAATGTATCTGAGCAAGCAGCTGATGAGCAGACCAAAAAATCACCAGTAGCACCTAAAAATAGAAATATAAATAATATGATTTCTTGTTTGGGAGTTCTTCCTGGACTTGGAGCCTATTCAGACAGTAGTGACTCTGAAAATTCCTCTGACTCTGATGTTGAAAAAGATGGTGAATACGACTTAATTGGCAGAAGGCATGTGCAAGTGCATAATACCCATGAACGGTCTTAGATAAAATTTTAAGAATCTTGTGCCAGATGTCAGAGTACATGCCAATTTAAATTTTAACAATTAACATAAACATATGAGTATTACAGGAAAAAAAAAAAAAAACCATTAAATGCATTTTGAGAGTAATGGGTGATCTGTTTTTATTTAAGTCATTCCATATATCTAATGAAAATGCTTTTAACTTTTTTTTTTGGTTGTTTTGTGTGTTTTTATGAATTGGCAGTGGTAAAATGTTGATTTTTATAATCATATTTGTTTATGTTATTTTCAAATATATAATATCTTTAAATAAAAATTCTTTTTAAAATGTAAATGATCAGATAAAGAGCTTTAAGAGGCAAAATATAACACACATTAAGTTCTATAAGAAAGGGTTACATAGTGGTCTTTCTGCTTCAGTTGTACACTGCTGTGCATAAACAATGTTAATTTCTCTCTTTCAGTCCTAAAATATATTCTTTGATGCAGCATTTCAAAGGCTTTTCAATTTTTTTTTTTTTTTCCCCCAGTGCTTAAGATTGCAGCAATGTGGAGATCACTCAGCATATGCATTTAAGAAACAGACTTGTATATTGTTTGTGAAGGATAAATTGCAGTTTAACCCCCCCCCCCCGAAAAAAAAAAAAAAAGAGTCAGCATGATGCAGTTACTTTATTTCTAAGACTTGGGGACCATCAATCAGTATAAATAGCGAGCTGAAACAAGGCCCAAACATTGTTGACTGTGGCCAGGATAAGGACACATTAGCTTAAATCATCATATGGGGAAAAAGACAAATTACATCTCATGTACCATGTGATCAATGATATACAGAGACATACATATCGTAAGAAGCAATATAGCAGTTAGCACATACAGATATATCACAAGGAGCAGTATAGCAGTTACAGACAATATCAAAGAGAGTTAACTAGGCATGTTTGCATTAGGAGCTGCAGCCAACTAGTTAGATCAATGCACAGGTCTTACAGTCAGCCTATGAGACGTGCTGAATCACAGTGATCTCTTGCATCCTTCCTTATTGAACATTATTGTGCTTAGAGGAGGGTTGTACTGCAACAATGAACTAGTGCATTCACATAAACAGATGCCCATATTGACTGGAGAGGCTAATTAGTTTTCCCATGTGGTACACTATATGGTTTCTAAGTTGTAAGCAATTGATCAGGTTCAAGTGTACCAAAGCAAGGATGGTACAGTTACAATATTTACTAAGAGATCATGCCATTAGGCGATGGCAACGAGCAGGCTAATTTTGGATTCTCACAAAACCATGCTGGCAGCAAATGTTGTAGCTTTATAATTTTTTTCACTTTCACTATTATTCTTTTAGATGTCACTAAAAATTATCTCAGAATTTTCTGCAGTTGCTTGTGATCAATTAGATTTTTCTTGAAGCTATACATTTTACCAGTTTGTTAGTTACATTCATTGACTTTAATTTTGTTACAATGCTCAGTTGTTTTTATACATTTTACTATGATATTGATTTTCTTTTTCTTTAGTGTATGGTGCTAAATGTCTCTTGTGCCTATCTAAGTTCAACAAGTGCACATGTGCAGAATAATTTTTGCAGTTAAATTACTATTCCTTTAAAGTCAATGTTTTTTTTTTTTTTTTAATTTTATTATCAAGAAAGGAAAGTTGAATTTTTTCCAGTTAATTAAAATTGGCATGCATCTCTTTCATCAGTTAAGAGCTTTACTCAGTAAAAATGGATTTTTATGTTAATGATAAAAAATTAAGTTCTTAATCATTTTATTTGATAAAACTGTGTAAAGCTAATTGATTCCTTTCCCTTGATTTTAAGTTGCACTTGTGTAAGTCTTTATTGAACAGTAAATGTTTTTATCACTGCTGTTATGTAAATTAAATATTTTGTTTGTTATCTATTTTCTCATGCTTTGTTTTCAATAAAATAAAAGAATGACTGTATGAGTGAAGTTAATTTCTAAAATTATTAATTTAATATACACTGCTAAAAAAAATGGGACAGTGCTATATCTCCTATTCTACTGGGCCGATTGACAAAATTCAAACTGCATTTTTCATCTCTCGAAAGCGCAACTTAGGATATATATTAGATTTATATATAGCACTATTCTAACATAGGTATTTTGACAACAAAATCGGACTTTTTCTAAAATAAATACCAATTGGTTTTCCATATTTCGATTCTACGACTCAAATTATGCCAGAATACCAAGTTTTGAAAAAATCGTACAAATAGTTTTTAAACTATTAGCTCTCAGAATTTTAGCTCCTCAATGTTAATTAAATTTGGCAAATATTTATTAATATCTCTTTTTTTATTAAACTTCTTTGATTTTTCCTTTCACATTTAAAAATTTAGGTTCATTCCAAATAAAATTTACCCATTTTTTTGTGTTTTATTTTTTAAATTTCTATTTTTAAATAATTTTTATAAATTTTTCGAAAAAAAATTTTGAATTATAACCTATAAAATTTTTGCCATCATCTTAAATTAGGTGTATTTCTAAGCATACCTGCAAAAAATTATACTTTTTTATTCAAAATTTTCTAAGATATACACGAATTTACATATTTTCACGTTTTGAAACTTGGCATCTTTTTTTTGAGCAATAATAATGCCAAATGTGGTTTATGGATTTTTGTTACAGTGAATTGCCACAGCTATTTTTAACCTTAAATTTCAAATAAAATTTTATGGAGAATTAATTATATGAAATGTTTTCCCTCAATGATGCATAATATATATTTATGAATACTCTATGAAAAGCTATTCTTTAAAAATTATAAATGATATTATTCAAATTTTTTACCTTTTTTTTTTTTTTTTTAAATTTCTCTCTTCCTTTAAAAAAAATATTTGTTAGAGTAAATTTTTATCTTCGGCATTTTATCATCTGCTACTTTACTTTAACTTCGTTTAAATCGAATTGTCTAAAACTGAGAACTTTCCTTTGATGTTTATTTGAATTTTAGGAAAATATTTTATGACATTAACTGCATAATTTATTTCTAAACAAGCTGTTGCTTATGAAGTGGCTAAAAGAGCGGCTGTTACTATCATCCATATTTTTAAAGCACAGTATATTTTTATAGAAACATAAGATTTAGAATAATCATTTTTATAAGAGTCAAATTATGATATAAACATACAACCCTCTAGAGACCGAACTAATGGAAGTTCAGTGGTTGTGTAGAAATGATCTGCAGCTACTTAATGGCTGAATAAGTCAGCAGGTTCTGTGGACAAGTAAGAATAATTATATAAACGGCACTCAACAGTCTGGATTAAATTAACACAGAGGGTACTATGTTTATTAAATGAATTTATGAAGTTTTTAAACATAAAAAATCAACTCATTTTTTATCCTAAAATGTATTTTTATGCGTAGCATATTTTAATTATATCCTTAAAATTCTAATTTAGAATGTAATTCTCAAGAACTGAGTTCTAATCATTAGTCATATAATAAGTAATTATTACGGTTATTAATAAATTCTTCTTATAAAGTAATTGCAAATATTTCAAAAAACTTTCTGTCTGAATGCTAATATTTCTAATTTTATATTAATAAAGATTGCACACGATATTATTTATTTGCACTTCAATTCTTACCGTGAGCACTAGTAGAAGTTACAAATCAATTATATTTAATTAAGGAATTTTTTAATTAAGGACCACCTAAGTTTAGAAACAGCGTACTGTAACAGCAATTCAATTATTGGTGACGTATCTTTCATGTTACTCCCGATTGGCAAGCTGTATGATTTTTGATGAGTATTCGGATTTTGCTAGTAACTTTCCTTGGAAATTGCGCTTAAACTAGGTTAGTTGGTTATTTGAACATAGAAAGAACATGGGAGCTATTTGGTTAAGATGCTTTCAAAGAGAACCTTTGTGAAAAGAACCTAGAAAACTACGAATACCAACTATGCAGCCTGGGTTAGACTTAGCAACAAACAATTAGTATTTAACAATCTTCAAATGCTAGGCAATGGTGAGGTCCAATTTAATTTTTTTTTTTTTTTTTGTAAATATTTAAAATATTGTTGTATTTTAGACACAAAAGTAGAATTTAAGTTTGTTAACTCGTGTAAAACTACCAAGCCGTAGTGCAAATGATGAATATTCAATTTCTTTTGCAATAATAGTATTTACTTAATATTCTTGGAATATGAACTAAAGAAGGAATGTTCTCGGAAGATTAAAGAAGTGTTTAAATCCAGTGATATTAGGTTTGTCTTACAAGCTCAGGATCAAAAAGATTGTGCAATTGCTCGAGTAGTTGACTTGTAAATGGATGTGAATTAAGCAGATGACTTTTAATCTTACGTTATTCAGCCAGAAAACGTATTCCAAATCTTCTGTATTGCATGACAATGCATCTTTTCATTATTTAATAACCAGTCGGAGAACCGCTTGTGTTCCGAAAATAAGTATGTGTACTCAATCGTCCTGCATGTTCTTCAAATTTGTCTTCTTGTGATTTTTTTCTTTCCCAAAAACTAAAGTTGCCTCTCAAAGGAAAGTTTTTTGACATTGAAGAGACAAAATTAATATGACATCTACTTTTAGAGGCATGTCAAAAACAGATCTCTACAAACCTTGTCTTCCGTTACAAGTTGTGCAGTCAGACAAAAAGTTGCATCAGCGTAAATTCTATAATCTATTTTTATTACACTCTGATTACTTTATTAACATACAGTGAATATATACTAAATCTTTTACTTCAGCTTAAGTAATTCGGAATTTTTGACGGAATTGTTGTTGGAACTAGGACTTAGAAGATACGTCAAATTGAATATTTCGATAATCCAATAAATTCAAGGTCGAAGTTTCAATATTTTATTTTCGGAGGGAGGGGACATTTTTTTCAGTTTTGGTCCATTATCCGAAGAACATTTACTTCGACTCTTTATTTTTTTCATAAAAGCAAAAATCTTACGCATGGTATACATATAATGCATAGCTTCAATTAAAATTTAATAATATACAGGGCGGTTATAAAGTTCCACTTTAAACCGGTCATAAAAGTACAACTACTGGATTAAATGTTATACTTTGTAACCGTGTAAAGGAGGTCATGGGAATTTAATTTCCGCGAAAAAAAAAGTTCGAAATCTCACCACCAGGAGGGAAATGATGCTGTATGCAATATTGTTAAACGAAACATGGGTCAGAATCTAACTTAACCTTTTGTTACACGGGTTTAATATGTTGTATACCCTTAAGAAACTCTGAAGTGAGCAAATTACCATTTAAAGGCGTTAAATTTGATAAAAGTCGAGTGCGCCATCCGTGTAAGAGTGTGTGTGTGTGTGATTATGGCAAGCCTCGAGGGCATTGCCTAAGGGGAGGGATGCCTTCGTGGAGGACTTTCTAAGGGAAAACTGGCTCGTATACACGTTATACATGGGGAAAAACCACGAAAACGCCCATGCAGCCAGCCCGTTCGCGGGATTCGAACCTCGGACCGAAACTACCAGTGTTCAGCGACTTTACGCTCGGCCGTGGTGGGCCCCCATTCGTGTAAGGGAGATTCGTCCGTGAAAACCGGGCCCACCAGCGGCCGAGCGGTAAAGTCGCTGAACACTGGTAGTTCGGTCCGAGGTTCGAATCCCGCGAACGGGCTGGCTGCATGGGCGTTTTCGTCACGTGTAACGTGTATACGAGCCAGTCTCCCTTAGAAAGTCCTCCGCGAAGGCACCCCTTCCCTTAGGCAGATAGCCCTGGAGGCTTTGCCATAATCACACACACACGTCCGTGAAAACCCCGAATTAGCGATTAGAAAATGTGAGATCGCAAATCGCTCGCACAAGTGCATACAATCTGGAAATCGTTTTCTTACTGATCGCTAATTTGTAATTTTTGAATCCTGAATTCAGCCCTAAAACATGAAGATACTGATTCAAAACGCTTTTAATCGATTTGCGCCAAATAAATCCCTCGTGTTATCTACCTAGTTCCATTGCATTCTCTTACTGCATTCGATTGCATAGCAGTCATTCCACACCGTTTGGTGAGGAATGACAGCTAGTTTCATAACTGAACCATTTTTCTCTAAGCAGTCGACAGCTGGACCACTGTGATTGCAGATCGCTTAGAGTAAATGTTTCATGATACATGAACTGCAGTTTGATTGCATTTTAGATACTACGATTATATGCAGGGCTGGGTGCCACCTCATATGTGTCGCACAGTTACTTAGGCAACATTTCACGAATGAAAGTCTTATAAGCCAACACTTCCCCTCTTTCCACCAGACCTCAACCTCTGTGACTTTTGGCTATGGGGTTATCTCAAAAGCATTGTTTATGGTGATAATTTAAACAATTTGGCAGAAATGAGAAATGTGATACACTGACATGTCCCTAACATTCCTCCTGATATGCTAAGAGCTGCTGTTGAGAATACAGTAACAGCTTGTTTTCGGAAAATACTGGACGCTACATTGAGCATGCTCTGTAACACGTTTCGGAAACGATTAAACACATTTTAAACCGATGATTTCATGTCTTATTTCATTTAACAATATTGCATACAGCGCCATTTTCCCCTAGTGGTGAGTTTTTTAACTCTTTCCCCCCCACGGAAAATAAATAAATAAATTCCCATAACATCCTTTCCACGATTCCCAAGTGTGTTAACATTTGGTCCGTTAGTTTTCCTTTTATGACCATTTCAAAGTTGAACTTTAATTATAACCACTATGTAAATTAAACTTTAAAAGTTTGACAGTTTGGTTGAAGTCCCAGCTTTAAAATATACATATAAATCTTTTTATATTGATCCTCTTAGAAAGAAATGTTTAAAAGAAGCTAATTTTTCTCTCGTGTTATAGATTGTATAAAAAACATTATATATTTAATATGATTTAGGTTGTTTCAGTCGATATAAGAATCGGGTTACTCGGTGGGTACAGAATAAACCTGCTGGACTGTTTTTTTTCTTTGTCATTTAGCAAAAATCTTTTAATTAAAAATTTATCCTTTGGACTTCACTTTAAATTTTATTATAGTTAAAATGACTAGAAAATGAAAAGCTTGTCTTTAGCTGAAACGCAATTCATATAATGATATTTTAAAAAATTGACAAGAATGCAAAATGTATGGAAGTTAGCAATCGAAAAATCTTAATTTCTTGTGTGAGCACTGGAAAATAAACTGTAAAAGGAAAGAAGAAAAATTAGGGAGAAAAGTAAGCAAAAATTTGCAGGGAAATTTGGCTGTCAGACATACCAAGATGTTTCAAAAAGTTGGACGCTTTTGAATATATTTTCAGGATACTTCAAAGAATTTAGGTGTTCAAAGAGAAATTACTTGGACGTGTACACCAGCAAATACCATCAATTGAGCTTGTGTTAACAGAAAAGACAAATCGATATCATTGCAGATTAAAGTGAAGAGCGACTGGTTTTAAACTATATGGTTGTGTAAATTACGTTATAGAACATCATATCGTATCATAAATGGTGAATCCATGATTTTTTCAGTCGAATTATTTGAAGATTCAGGAGTTTATCCAGTGATGTATGTGGATGTCACCTAAAGATGTTTTTTTTTTCCGTTCCTGATGAAACAGCGGCCGAGCGGTAAAGTCGCTGAACACTGGTAGTTCAGTCCGAGGTTCGAATCCCGCGAACGGGCTGGCTGCATGAGCGTTTTCGTGGGTTTTCCCCATGTGTGACGTGTATACGAGCCAGTTTCCCTTAGAAAGTCCTCCACTGAGGCAGATAGCCCCAGTGTACCTTGTCATAATTAATTAAACCAAAACCTCTTCATGAAACCAGTCTTTCCTTTTATCTCATACCTTCAAAATGCTTAGCCTCTAAAGACTGATAAAGGCTCTGATGAAATGGATTGATTTGGATTATTAGGTTACGGCAAAGCAGGGCCTATCTGCCTAAAAGAAAGGATGCCTTCGTGAAGAAATTTCTAAGGGAAACGAGCTGCAATACACGTTACACATCCACGAAAACGCCCATGCGAACCAGCCCGCTTACCGGGATTCGAACCGCGGAGTGAACTACCAGTGTTCAGGGACTTTACCGCTAGGCCGTTTGTGGGCCTTTATGAAATGGAAGGCGATAACTTTATTCAAAATGATTGTCAGAAATACCAAGATGTTTCGAAAAGTTGGGTGCTTTTTAATATACTTGCAGAATGACTGCGGAAAAACTGTTTAAAGCAGTGTATGCAACTCATCCTAAGTTAAAATATCGGTTATACATCTCTCTTATTTATATATCTTTTCCGAACGGCACGCTAAAAGGCGTGTTAACTGTGCTTTATTGTGTTTTCTCTTTTAATATATGCAGTTTTTAAATGCTTCGTAGTCTGGGTCACAAAGTATTCTTCCGAAAGAAACGCAATTCAAATAAATAAAATCAAATTCTGGAAAATTTATACTAATAAATATATTTAAAATGCTCAGTTCGAATGAATAAACAGAAAATTTTAAAATAATTATCTGAAAAGACAATGCAACACTAACAATTAAAACAAAAGTCTAAAATTTAAAAAATTACCTAAAATAGCAACTATGACTAAAAATATAGTATAAAGAAAACTATTTGAAAATAAATAAATAAATAAATAACGATGCGCCTTTGATTTAAACTACGCAGTTTCAAATAAGTAAATAGAAATTTTTAAAAACAGTTATTCGAAAGAAACTATGCAACGTAAACAATTTAAAATAAATTCGAAAAAGAAAAAAGTTGCTTAAAATAATAACAATTATAATTAAAAATATAAGATAAAGAACATTATTTGAAAAGAAGGAACGATTGAGTCTTTTTTTTCTGTCACGCACTATGTAAAACTGGAAATGAAAATAGGTTGCCACATATTAAGAAGTTCGCCAACTGAACTAATTTTGGCTCAAACTGAATAAAAAGCGCCAACATAAATTGTTGAATTTCTCCGTAAATTTCGCACCAAATTTTACAAAATTTAATATTTAGGCATAATTTGAGTCGTAGAATCGAAATATGTAAAAAAATTGGTATGTTATTTTAGAAAAAGTTCGATTTTGTGACAAAATACCTATGTTAGGATAGTGCTATATATAAATCTAATATGTATCCTAAATTGCGCTTTCGAGACATGAAGAACGCAATTTGAATTTCGTGAATCGGCCCAATAGAATGGGAGATATAGAACCGTCTTATTTATTTATTTATTTATTTTGAGCAGTGTACTTTTCTATGAAATGGGATTCATTGACATGGCTAACACTTGAAGTTGTTAATAGTTTTATGCAATCATAGGGTAACATTTCTGACTGAGATTTTTCAATTTTTTGGTTTTAAAGTTCATATTTTTTAAGCTTTTTAATAGCAGAATTTGAAATTTCGATATGTATTTGCATTTGATGTAAGTCTGTAGTGCTCTCTGTTGTTTGCAGAAAACCTATGGTGTGATTAGTACCCAGACAAGGAACTTGCATTTTGCATTATCATTAAAGAACTCATTTGTGAATCAAAAGATAGAGTTGCAAGATTTTCCAATAAAACCAGGAAACTCCCAATTTTTTCATCTCATCTCTCATGTTCCTGATAAATTTTCAAATCTTCTAATTTTAATTTGTTTGAATTTAGATTCTCTTTTTCAGTTGTAGTTTTAGAAGACTTAACCGATCACTAATTTTGGAAGCAAAAGAAAATGGAATTTCTTTTTAATGATTGTAATTTTTCTGATTAATTTATATTCGATCTGCTGTGTTTTAATCCATGTATGTATATAGCTTCTAGACTCTGAGCATACTTTTGTCGAAGTACACATTGATGAAGATTCTTATTTTGATACCAAATGATAAAAATTATCTCTCTTACAACGCTTATCAATAAATGGTTCTACCACCATAACCTATCATGGAAATAGATGTAGTACAGGTGAAAATTTATGAATATTTTCATGGAAGTGTGCTGAGGGTAAATATGTTTATCTTAACCTTCTTATGCTCCTCAAAAGAATATGCAAATAATTCCAGTGAACTGGGATGTAGCTGAATAATAATACTTTGATTTGTTTTAACAGCTTTTCCAAATAATCATATTAGTTTGGATACTGGGAAGAGTATAACATTGTATGAAGCTACAAGTTATTTACATTATTGTTATTAATGTTCTTATAACGGAAAAGAGCGTATTGGTGATAAAAAAAATTATTTTTTGAACACAAATATTTTTATTTCATTGTTAATATACAAACGTTTCTGAGTCTTCAGACAGTGTTCATATTGGACACTAGTATATGCAGCCTGTCCCAAAGCTAACTTCTGGATCCATATAGACAGTCAGGCAGCTTATTCCCCCATCTTAGTCTTCCAGAGAAATAACCACGAGCTCAGAAGAAGGTTTAAAATAAGCCTTTCTGTTAAAATGTCAACTTAACAACTTGTATAATTAACAGAACAATTTCTGGCAGCTTGTGATGCTTCTGGGCTTGTGAGATCTTGCAGGTTTCTCAGAACATCAAAGCTAAACTTAATAGTTAAAATATGCAATTCCCATGGCAGAGCCCTCCTATCTAGTCCTCTAATCACAGAAGTAAACATAGCTAACAAAAGGCTATGTTTACTTCTGTGTACTTATAAGTGAATCCAGATAAATTTAAGCTGAGCATAATTACTACATAGAATATCCGTAATCACTGCCAAAAGCACTCCTGTAACTAAAAGAACTCTTTTCTTCTGTACATTAAATAAATTTACATCCTTATGAAAATAAAGGTTAAAGTAATGGGTTAATGAGCAAGAAATCTTGCATATTAATTCTTGATTAATGTGTTGTTCTGCATTTCAATGGTTTGGTTGCTGAAGAGTTTCAAAAAATGCATCAAAAGGTAACACTTGTATAAATCTGGTAAAAAGCTATTTCGTGTTTGATGATGTTTGGCCATTTTGGTATCTTTTCTGAGTGGTTTATGAGATGTTATCCAAAGTAAGTTAAAAATGGGAAGATTGGTTCATTTGTCTGATACGTTGTGTTAAAAGAATGAAAACAAATTTTGTTCTTTTTTTCCCACTGTAATTTGTACAGTCGGATTTTATGGATTATTATTATAGGCTTTCTTTGTTAACATTCTCACTGTATTGAGTAGCAAAACAATTTATTGTGCATTGTAAATAATACTATCTATTTCGCTTTCTAAATCTGAATGTACAGCTCGAAGTGTATTTGTACTACATTTGGGACTAAACACACTGCAAATGCAAATCAGTGTTTCAAAATAAGTGCAAAATGTGTGCTGAAAAAGGCTTCAAAACTGAAAGAAGAAATGCACATACAAAGATAGACTATTAATCCTTTTTATTAATCTTAATTTGGCTAAAAATTTGTCGATAATAGAATGATTTTTCAGTTTTAATCATTGACAGATAGGTTATCCAGAGACACTGACAGCCTGTTTGGCCTGTGTTGGTTATGCTGGTTTCGAAAAATCTGCCTTTGAAAGAGTACATTCCTCCAACCATCATCTTGATCTACAGCATCATTGTTGATGCCTAAAGCATCTCTTGCGTGGAGCACTGCTCCATTTATTTGAGGTCTGTCTCTGTGAACCATACCTCCTGCAATGATAAAAGCATCATCAAGTTGTTGATTTGTAAAGATAGCTTAAGTTACAGATCAAGGAAGAGTAAAATTTGTCAAAGTGTCATGAATTCAGAATTATTGAAATTAATTTTCTTTGCATGTCAGATTTACCAAGTCATAGAAATCTCTTTTGATTATAGTAAGAAATAAATGGAACATATATACCGCGATCTCATTATTCTCATCAAACAGTTACCAGCAAGAAAACATTTTTGATTCTCATCCACACAGTTCACAGATTTGGCACCTGCAGGTTACTTCCTTTCTCCTAAAGTGAAATCTTACCTCAACTATCATTGTTATATTAACATTGAAGAGATTATGTAAACTTTAACCAAAAGCTTAAATAATTGTCCAAAAGACAGTTGTACGAAGTAATCAAGCTGCTGTATGAATATTCCAAGTATTATACAGATTTACAAGGGTTGTGCACTAAATGTTAAAACATTATATTTGTTTATAAGGGTTGTATACCGAAAGTTAAGAAGTAAAATATTGTAATCTTCAATTTTTTATTTTTGTACAAACTTTGTCAACCACTGTGTATATGGCTAGATATCTTTACATTTTGACTTAAGTATTGCAAACTTACCATCTTGCATCCAAGTACGCCTTCTGCTTGGTCTTGTAGGTTCTTCTTGAGAAGGAATTGTAAGGTTATTTCTCATTTTACGTCGTCCACCACTACCAATGAATCGTCTGCTCATCGGATCCCAGCGAGGAATTGATGGGACTGGTTGCGGAGTTGGACGTATCCAAGTGACATCTCTTGCTGTAAACCTCATCATCGTATGCAACTGTAATTTCAATTCTTATCAGTCAATAGTGTATTTTAACATATTTTCCATTCAGTTTTCATAAAAGTTTTTAAATGTAATTTTTTAAGTCTGTCTGATTTTATATTTAAAGAAGAAATATGTTTGTTAGCATCCTCCATTTACTTTTCCATTATGAATGTATTTTTTAAAACCGATAAAACAAAACTGAAGAGCCGAGACAAAAAAAAAAAAAAAAAAAAATCGATCCCGAGTCACCCGTGTTGGGCTAGTGGTAAGTGTGGCATCCAGTCAGAAGTTTAATGGTTGGCTAGAGATAAGAAGAGTGATAAAATAATGCAGGCATTGGTGAATGGGTGGAGGGATTCTTTTTGGAAAACTATACTGTATTAAGTCGTGCATGTTGGGCTACTGGTAGCCGTGATATCTAGTCAGGATCTTAGCGGTTGACTTGAGATAGGATGAGAGATAAAATAGTGCAGTTATTAGTGGATGGACGTAAAGACTCTTCATCACACACACACACACAAAAAAAAAAAAAAAAAAAAAAAAAAAAAAAAAAACACGTCCCTATGCAGCACGTACTTTTACATATGATATTTAACTATTTTGGGTCTCATTTTAATATCTAAATTTTTCCTTCCTCCCTATTTTCAAGCAACACTAGGGGCCGTCAGCACTTGGGAGGGGGACCACCCACATGACTGACGCCAGCCAATCACTATATCACACCCTCTTTCTCTCGGATTCGTTGACTCCTGCACATGTGACTTCACCAACTCTGTTCCATCTAATATACTCACATCACATAGTGCTTGCTATATAATTGCTTATCATCTGTGATGGCTGTTACTGTCACACGTGACTATTGGTCACGTCCCTTTCACCAGAAAGCCTGTCCTCTGGACCCGCATTTCAGCATTCGCCTACCTGGTGCGCTCAATGAAGCATGATATTTTAAGACAGCCGTATCAATGCATGCTATTCGCGGCAAATTCATCAGAACTTGGTACTTCCCATTGCATAACATATCTCAGGTCAGGAATTGAAATACAATCATTTCAGACACCAGTGACCACATCTGAGGTTACCCATGTGAGGTGTTTCCCTAATCGGGGTGCCGGTAGTAGCGGAGTAAATTTCCTGCTGACACAGGCCTACCAACAGTATCAAAGAATCTTTCTTCAGAAAACCATATAATTTTGAATTGATAGTGTAATAAATGGAAAGAAGGGAAGTTGAGAAATCGTTAAATCAATATTTAGAATTTTAATATTTATTCAAAGTATTCACAAAGTTCATTCGTAATTTTAAATAAGATGTACATTATTCAAAGTATTCACAAAGTTCCATTCATTATTTTGAATAAGATGTACATCCTATCTACAGGGTCCTCGCAACTTCTGAGTTTCGGCATTGATTTTTTAATGGTTTGGATCTAAAAGTGGGTTTATTTGTCCCCTATCATGTCATTGATCTCTTTCATGCAACTAAAAATAGTTCCATAAATTTGGATATACACTGTTTTGCAAAAAAAATCGAAGCACCAAGAAGGACTTTTACAATCGTGACGAAATTTGGTATGCAAAAACATCTTGATCGAGCATGCAAATGAACATGAATTGCGATCATAGCGCATATTTCTAGGGCGCAATTCGCAAAGTATAAAACCAGTAACAGAAGCGTAAAATTTATCTTTTTTATTGCTGCCATTGTAATTCCGTAAAGAAGCAACTAAAGATGACATTACGACAATATCGAAGACCTTACAGACAACTAAACGACTTCGAACATAGTCGCATTGTAGGGTTGCGTGAAGCTGGGTGGTCATACCGAGCAATAGGCCACCATCTGCAGCGTAGGGACACTGCTGTGCAAAGATGTTGGAAGCAATAGTTGCTACAAGGAAATTGCCGGCGAAATGAAGGCTCTGGAAGGCCAAGGAGCACAAATGCGAGGCAAGATAGAATACTTGTTCGCTAGGCCCCAACCGCCCCAACGGTATCATTGTCAACTATTCAACGCACTACAGCCACGTCTATACCACCCATGGTACCGTTCACCATCTCACGGAGCTTGTCTGAGGCGGGGTTACATCACTGGTGTGATGGTGTGGGGCGCTATTCTTATGACAGCAGATCATCCTCCATCCATCTTTAACAGCTCAACGATATGTTGATACCATCCTGCGGCCGGTTGCATTACCCTCATGGCACGTTATCCTGGGCCATTTTCCAACGGATAATGCCAGGCCACATATCGATCGCATATCGCTGGACTGACACAGACACACCAGGCGTAGGACCTCCATCCCAGGTCCTCATTATACGGGACCCATTCAGAGTTTGAAATATCCAACGCCCGTGGGACCTCGTTCTCGTAGGCGCAACCCCCACAGTCCCCGTCCGGCTTTTACTAAGCATTGGCCAGAACGATACGTTGCTAATTTAAAACGCTGTCACCTTGCCTCCGGGCACCACTCCATCGGCAAAACACATTGTAGTAAGGTGCTCTGTCCGCTTTGTCAGTCCCCGCCACGAAAACTGAATGGGGTCAAACCCCCGGGAACTCAGTCGACAAATATACTATGTAGCTCCACCACAGCCGAAGGAACAGACACGACAGTACCAGTACGGTCCCTGCCAAGCCTGAACCAACCTGAGTACAATACTCGGCCTCAAGTCCTGTGAAGTCAAATTATATACCCCCATGGTTGAGACTGCCTAGGTACAGATCCTAAGCAGTACTTCCCAGGCATTCGCCTGTCTCCGTGCGGTTGATACTCTTCCTTGGCCAGCAAGGTCACCAGACTTCTCACCAATCGAGCATGGGTGGAACATAGTAGGCCGCCAGATTCGGGCACCACAAAATATCGCAGATCTGGAGCGACAACTGATGAATGCCTGGCAGAATGTGTCGCAGGATGGCATTATGAACCTCTACCACTCCTTGCCTTCACGAATTCAAGCATGCATTGCTGCCAGGGGCGATTCGACCAACTACTAATTTGAACACTCAGTGGGTGATTGTGAGCCGTGAACAGGTACTATGTCCTTGATTTTTTAATCATTTTATTATCTGTATATGAGCTATACACATATTCAGTTTCATCAAAAACAACCACTTCCTTCATGGTGATTCGACTTTTTTTTTTGCAAAAGAGTGTATTTGTTTTATTATTGCTAAATGTGTTTGGGGGGGGTTCTTTGAGATCAGTAGAGCTGGTGTTGGCCTCTTGTGCAGCAATATTTTGAATTTCATTGGTTACAATGTTTTTGTTGATGCTGGTGGTCTGGTTTTTGAGAGCCTGGAAATAACTGAAACCTTGTTTAATGAATTTACTATTTGATTTGGGGGGGGGATTTAGTATATGATGGTGGTTGGCAAGACTGGCAGTTGCTGCATTTAGCGTTTTCTAATTTTTCTTTTTGGGGGCAATCTATTGTTTTGTATGGTAAACAGCATTTATGCAACGGGTTTGAAAGTAATTTTGGAAGGAGTGGTTCCACTTGTAACAGTTATAATACTGTGGGACTGTGTTTTTGGTAATATATTTTTCTACTGTGTTTGAGAATAATAGAAGGTCCTTTCAGCTTCCAGATTTTATCAAAGCTTTTTACTATAGTTGAATCATGAATGATGGCATTGGTACTTTTGTATTTCTGCGTTTTGACTGTTAAACTATTTTACGGTAAAACCTCTATGCATCAATACTAATTTAATGTTACGTTGGTTAGTAATGGAAGGACTTCCTCTGATAACTTTAATTGGTGTATTCTGCTTTGTGTTAATAACATAATGCTCGATACAGTTGTGATGAAAGAATTTTATTAAAGTATTTGCAGTATGAGTCAGAAATTTAAGGTTTCCACTGTTAACTTTTCCTAGAAATTTAGCTGCCATGGTTTGAGCTAGTTTGTTTAGACAACTCCCATGCGAGAGTAGTCCAGGGCTAACCATTATTGGTGGTGTTAATGAATGACTGTTCGTAGTAGTTTCATGCTGTTCCTTAGGGGTTTGCATATTTTTATTAGTTGCGTTATTGTGTAAAATTTCAAATCTATTTACTGTGGGTATTGTATTGTTGTGTTGCTTTCATTGATTTTAGGGTGTTTGCACGTTTTAGTAGAAATCCATCTTGCACCGTTCTAATGGGAAGCTTCTTATTGGTTTCATTTTTACGTTTGCAGCATTAAACTGTTTAGGTATATCAGTTGCAGTGGGGGTTGTGCGGGCATTATTAATAAAACTTAATTTACTCTCTAGTCAGGAATTTGTAGTAATTCCTGCTCGACTAGAGCGGTCTTTTATCTCATCGGTGGTCGTAGTATCAGTGGAAGCAAAGGCTCTGTTTTTAGACATGGCTTACAACAATCATCAGATTATGATAGGTGTAGGCCATTTCGTCAATATGTTTTGTTACAATCGAGCTTTCTTCCGCATCCTGTTCCATAACCAGGTTCTTGTCATTAGTCGGCTGTTGTGAACTCTGGTTAGATCATAGTCGCCTTCAGGCGATTCTTTGCAGGTAGGCTTTCTCGTGAGCAGAAGGGAGAGCTTCTCCACGCACCACGGCTGGAGGCAGAATGATCAATGCACCAAGCGGTAGCAAGCCTACTCCTGGCCTGTGTCTAATACAATACGAATTTTCATTATAATTCCTTTGTTATGTTTTCTTTGATAATGTTTTATATGATTTGAAATTCGTATTCCATTTTCGCTAACTTCACGCTATATCGAGTTTTTAAAGTATTTTTTAATTCATGTTTTAGAACAAGGTTTCCTGTTGGTCACAAACTAGCTCACAGAAAGCTTAATCGGGCCTGCCAACTGTTATTTGAAATTTTAATATACTCCATGTTTAAAAACAAAAATAAAATTTTTAGGGAAAAAATTTTAGGAAAAAATAACGCAAAGAGAACAGTATGCGAGATTTTCCTCGCTAGGAGAGCAGGTCCAACCAAACAGTTTTGAAAACAGCAATGAAAATTTCGCCGATTTATTGTACCAACTATAAGCGA